GGGGGGGGGGGGGGGGGGGGGGGAGAAAAAAAAAGCAATTTCTGTAGGTAATCTCTCCTGTGCCTGACCCGTTTTTTTCTCACCCCCCCCCAAAGAGCAGAGAGATTGAAGAAGAAAGGATTACTAGAGAGTAAGCAGACACACAATGGGGCATACATCATGCTGTTTGCATAGCATGCTTGGGACTCCCAGCCCTGAGCGTGCTCAGGGCTGCCGGTGCCACTGCATTCCATTTGATGTGTGTTCTACTGTACATTGTGTATCTGCTTACTCTCTTGTAATCCTTCTTCTCTGAAGAATGTAAATACAAACATTAATTCCTTTCTTGCTAATTATCCCAGTCCTGGGGCGAGCATTCCAAAGGATAGGGGAGTGGGGAAGAGGAAAGCAGTTGTGATCACATGATTTCCCACTTAGTGACCGCTTTGCTTAATGACACAGCTGTCGGTCCCAATCGTGATCGTTAAATGAGGACTATCTGTACCTACATTTATTTTATAAATTGTTCAGTATATAACAAGCACTCCATTATCACTGTCTTCAGCAGCTGCCACAAATCCAATAATTGCTTTGACATTGGTAGGGATAATAGTTATATAAAAAACTGGATTTTTGTTAAATCTATTGCAGTTCTGAACTTTTTTGTCAGTAGGATCCAGATTTCCATATAAATTCTGTTTTTGACTGAAATGGGTTGCAACCTTATATGAAAAAAACACTATGGCTTTCACTACAGCAGCTATGCCCTCAGATTCCTATACACTTCCTACTGAACTCAATAGGTTTTCCAAACCAGCATACTCAAACAACTGGACTGTTTGTGTCTACAGACTCTGCATATAAACATTTTATCATTGAAACATCTGTTTCATTTTATATGCTAAGTGAACATTTAGTTCCTGTTCTCTATGACATGTTAGAACTGAAGTTAAATCAGTGATGCCAATACTACACAGGTATTTATCATAGCTTCCCATTAAATTTCCAAAAAATGCAGAACAGTACATTGGATTTTTAAAATTATTCTTGTAGAGGAGTGATGACATTTTATTGGGTTGTGGTTCACACTTAAGCATTATTTTTATGCTTCCTCTAGCACAGCTCAGAAAATTATTCAACAATCCTTCCATTAATGATGCCTTTATTTCTTATCTAAAATGTATCTAGTTTAAAAGAATTGGGTACAGAGTATGCAGCAATTTTCAATTTTAGGTAGAAGGTTTTTTTTGAAAAGTAAAGATGTCAGTGTATTTACTTGGGAGTATGTCCTGCATAGGCACAGATAGAATTGCACTGAAAATGATTCATATTTGGCAGATGTTGAACATTCTGAAAGAAACCCAGAAACCACTTATCCTTGCACCAAATGTTTTCAGTTTAATGCAAAATAGTTTTTGCCAATGCTGGCACCACTTCTAATTCTCCCCTTTGCGCTCATCTTTTACTATTATCTGTGGTGGAGTTAGGATCTATTTGCCAACTTTGTTCCCTTTCTGTGTTGCTCTAGATGCTGTATCTCACAGATCCTGTCTCACTCAGCAGTCTCTGCTGACCGGGTAGTGCAGGGATTGGGGATTAGTAAAATTAAATTAGCTGCATTTAGTGTGGTAGATTGAGGCATTATAATGCAATTTCAGAGGAACAGGTGAGCATGATTCTTCTATGATTTGGAGCATGGCAGTGCTGCAGCTCTATCAGAATTTGCAGCATTCCCCCCCCTCCCTTTCTTTAATGGAATTAGAGAAAAGAGTATTTTCTAAAGCATTAAAAAAACCCAACTGGCAGAATCTGTTTTTAAGGCAGAATTTGACTTTTACTCACACCCACTCAAATTATTTCATTGGGCCCGTTCTAAGTCTAATTCTTTTACGATTAAGCCCCCGAGGGCACCCATTAGTTGTCTGTTTTTGAAAGCTTAGTTGCTATAATACTAGAGCTGGCACATTCGCCTCCTTAGTGACAGCAGCTGTCGCTATATTTGGGGGGTGGCGACGTCTGAAGAAAAAAAGTGTGTGTACAACTGAGGGCTGCATGGCTCATTGGCTATGTGGTAGCGGTACCCTTTGTCGCCGCCGTCGCCTTTGGCTTTGGAGACCGAAATGGAGGTGCAAAATCAGGCGGGGTGTGGGAAAGGAAAACGAGGGACAGGCGGGGCTGAAACATAAGGTCTGCAGATCACCGCATGCATTAACTCACTCGCAGCGCCTGAGCCGCCTTCAGCTGCCGCTATTCCCGCCTCGCTACAGCACCCAACCAGCTTCGTCAACTCCCGCCTCCCACTAACATGAGGAGGAGAAAAATTATCCCGAAAGCGCCATCCCCCTCGGGCTGAAGAGCAGAGCAGGAGCGAGGTGGATTTAATGCATGCGTTTATCTAGTTCTGAACCTCAGAGGAAAAACAAAACAAAAAACGGGGAAGGGGGTACAGAGAAAGAATTGCCAGCCTAATATTTCCCCTCAGTTTCTGGCTTGTCGCCCAGGGATCGAATTGCCTTTGGAGATTTATAGCAGCAAAGAAGCCACGAGGTACGGAAATCCGTGGAAGAGCCATGGCTGTCCCCCGCATTGGTTGAAAGGCACGCTAAGGAGACCCACACGCACACCCTCGCTCCTGGACCCCGCCAGGGGCTAGCCACGCCATGCTGACCTGCAGCCCCGGAGCAAGTCCTCGGGCGCAATGAGGCAGCCGCTTGCCGCCCAAGGTTGACGCTGTGGCGGCTTCGCTCGCTCCCCTCTACTCGGGGGCTGCTTCGCATCCTGCTGCTGTTCTCAAAAGAGGGCGCCGGCGGCTCACAGGATTAGGCGCGAAGCCGGCAGAAGGCATGAAGGGCGCTACGGTGGAGCCGGGGCTGTAATTGCCCGCTGGGCTGGCTGTTCTTTAGCTTCTTGGCAGGAGAGGGAGCACCGAGAAGCTCTGCCCAGCGATGCCTTTGTGCGATGCCCGCTCCTCACTGAGGAGAAGAAACGGCGCCCAAACGCGGCTGCCCGTCTGACTGACTGCGGCTACTTTGCGCGGAAATCAGCCTTTCTCCTCTCCTCCCAGCCCCCTTTCTGAACTTCCAGGGATGGGCGGTTGACGTGCGGGGAAGGTAACGCTGAAATGGTGCTTCTCTACGCGGGCTCGTCCTGGCTCTGAGTGGGAAGGAGCATCAAGGAGCGCTACCCTCTCGAGCAAAGGCAGGCAGGCTGGTGGCCCCGAAAAACCGGGCGAAATTTGGAAGCAAGGGGAGGGAACTCCAAAGTAAGAGGGACGGGGAGAAGGGGGGTGGAAAGAGGGAAAAGAAAGCAGTGGGGAGGGGAAGGGTTAGAAAGGAAGGGGAAGGGTGTAGCAGAGCATCCTGTTTCTCACCCCTGGCAAACTGCGGATTGGAGACTCTGGCTGCCCTCTTGGTATTATGTCTGCACTTCGAAGGAAATTTGGGGACGATTATCAAGTAGTGACCACCTCGTCCAGTGGGTCAGGCTTCCATCAACAGCAGGCGTCGGCCCACAAGAAAAAGCGCCAGAGGTTTGTGGACAAGAATGGCAGGTGTAACGTGCAGCATGGCAACCTGGGCAGTGAGACAAGCCGCTATCTGTCTGACTTGTTCACCACCTTGGTGGACCTCAAGTGGCGCTGGAACCTTTTCATCTTTATCCTCACCTACACTGTGGCCTGGCTTTTCATGGCCTCCATGTGGTGGGTCATTGCTTACATGCGGGGTGACTTGAACAAAGCCCATGATGAGAAATATACACCTTGTGTTGCCAATGTCTACAACTTCCCCTCTGCCTTCCTCTTCTTTATAGAGACAGAGGCTACTATTGGGTATGGCTACAGATACATTACAGACAAATGCCCAGAGGGCATTATCCTCTTTCTTTTCCAATCCATCTTGGGCTCCATTGTGGATGCTTTTCTTATAGGCTGTATGTTTATCAAGATGTCCCAACCTAAAAAACGGGCGGAGACGCTGATGTTCAGTGAACATGCTGCCATATCCATGAGGGATGGCAAACTCACCCTTATGTTCAGGGTGGGCAACCTTCGCAACAGCCACATGGTCTCTGCACAAATCCGCTGCAAACTTCTCAAAGTAAGTTCAAGCTTTCTTGTCTTCAGTTCTAATCATACTTGACTATTCATCTTTGCTTCACTTTTGTTTTTCCAGTTTACACTCATATCCTTCCACACCTTTCTTAACAGGATTTCACTTAAAATACATACCTGTTTTTCTAGCTCCTAATTTCTCATCTTACTGTTTTTTTTTTAAATAAAAATGTTGGAAGATGCAATTGAATAAGCTATGATAGCCAATTGTCAGAAACATTACAAAATTCCATGAGTGAGGCAGGGCACTTGTACAAGGACAAGTTTCATTTTTCTCCCTACATTTTTCTCCCAGAGAACTCTTAGCATATTTCTTCTTTCACAGTATTTGCATTGCTATTTCCTCAGTGAATGTCTCCTGCTGTAGGTCTCTCTATGAACCTTTTTTCCTTAATCTGTTGCATTGTCTCCCCTCTATTTTCCTTACTAAAATTATGGTTTCCTGCATCTATGGCTCAGTTCCCATCTCCTTTTACATTACAGTAGCAGCTTCTCAAACTGCTAATGAATTGAAGTTAATTTTTGTATGTAGTCCCCAGCCTTTAAATTAAGGCTTTCTCCATCTTTCTTGTTTCTGGATTACAGTCTGGCATACAATCATTTTACCAGTACAAGTTGCCTTTTTAAATTCTTGATTAAACCTCTTACTTCTTTTTGTGAAATTCTGTTTGGCTGGAGAATTCTGGGAGTTGAAGTCCACACGTCTTAAAGTTGCCAAGGTTGAGAAACATTGCTGTATAGTTTATATTTCAATATTGTAGTATAAAAAATACATTGAGGGGAGCCTGGTGTTTCTCCTTTCTTGTTATTATTGTGGGCTTTGTGATTTTGGAAGACTATTGTACCAGAAGATCCTTTTAATAAGCTAAAATATTGCCTTATTTAGGCAATGAAAACTTCCTTGGAAGTCAAAAGAATTCTGGTTGAGACTTACTACATTGTTAGTATTATAAATTAGGTGAAATTCTTTGACTTCATTAACTTCATTAAAATTCTATTATATGTTCAGGTAGGCTGTCTAGTCCTTTTTTTCTGGGCGGGATATTTAGGAGTTTCACTTTTTGATAATTAACTCTGACTTCTAAATTTGCTATAGTGTCTTATGGTGAATACAATGCTGAGGTAGAAGTCACCTCAACAATTTACAGCATAAGCTGAGTGATAAACACTCGTTTGGTTAAGGGCTTCAGAACAGCTTACTTTACGTTTTTCTTTTTTTAATAGTAATGTTATTAAAAATTACAACTATAATAAAAAACAAATACAAACTAAAAAAGAAAAAATAGAAGGTACAGAAAAGAAAAAGAAAATAGAAAAAAATAGAAAAGAAAGAAAATAAGAATATAATAAAGAAAAAGAAATATATAAATGACTTCACCTTCATCACAAGTATAAACAATTTTAGTAACTTATCACCTTCTCTTAAAATATAACACATGATCTCTTCTTCCCATATCCCATCTCTTATCTATAAACAAATCCTTAAAAACCTCGTCATTTCAGTCCTGATATCAGCAAAAGTCTATTAAGGGTTACCAGAGATAACAATATATCTATTTTAAACTTGATCAAATAAACCAACTTTATATTCCTTCCGTTTACTTAAGTCTTGACCTTTAGTACCTTCAAATAATGTCCTAAAGCTTGATTTCTTTTCATTTTTTCTTTGTCCATTCTCACAAAATTCTTCAAAGCTCTAACAAGCCTCTGTTGTAAATCCAATATAGGAAAATTATCCAGGTCACCCTCTTGGTTTGTTATTTGTATATCCCTTTTACTTATTAAGACATCAGCCGGTTTCTTTTGTATGTCCAATGTAGCATCTTTTTCCATATCATTCTTGTAGCTTGTCATTTTGAAATCCACTTTCAGATCAGTCTCAGTCTTGTCCAGTAAAATTTGTTTTTCTTCCATAATATCTTTTAAACATAGTCTATCTATAGAGGCAGACACTCTTAAAATTAACTTCTGGATCCATTGTTCAAAAATGTCAAACATTAAAATATTTTGCTGCATTCTGTATTAATAAGTCAAATTTAAGTGTTCTTCTCCTTTAATTGTAATCTTTAGTTCCTTCTAATTCCCTCTAGTGTCCAACCTTCAAAGTCCCATCCTATCATGTTTTTTTAAGGAATTCAAAGCCAAAGTATTTTCCCATGGGAAGGATTCTTATAACTAATTCCAAAATCTTATTTCAAATTTATCTGGACCCTTAGTCCATTTGTAACATTCTAAAATCAACATTGTAATCACCCTTTTGCTGTTTATTCCAACAAAAAAAATTAAGTCCTTAAACTTGTATTTAAAATTTCTTTTGCTAAAGATTGAAGGAAACTAACCTGGTGTTGTAAAACGTGTTGATCCTAAGGTTCCTAATAGCTAAAAAGCAGTTAACAAGCTGTTTCCAAAGTGATTAGAAAAGGAAATATGAGAACCCGTGTCCTTAAAGGCTCCAACAAAGGGTTGAGCAAGATAGCTATTCCCTCATCTCCCAGAGCTCTAAACCTGCCAGAGACCGCTGTCATGCGGCCTTCTCACGAGGAACAACTGTATGGAACACTTGTGGGCAATCTCAATTCTCTCCTTGTTCAGAGAGGGATTACGAAGAGCCGGTCTACTTGCCAGCTCTTTATTCCACCATGGTTGTCAGCTCCACTTTTAGCGGAATCATCTTCAGGTCCCCATGTCTTCCCCGGAAGTCCACAATTTATATTTTTCTTGATTAAAGGAGAAATGATTATTTTGAGAAATTAGGGATATTTGTAAACATCACTTACCCATACTTCAATATATTTAATAAATGATAATATGAATTGCTTCTTCTCACTTACAACAGGATGAGATTCATAAAGTAAGATACCCTGTTGTCCTTTAGCTCACAATATGTGCTTGCAGAATTTTTAGATAGGGAAATCCCACTAATATGCATGGTAGCCATCACTACCAGTTTTATCAGTACCTTTAATTTAAAATGGCAACATAAATTATATATGAAATATCTTTGTTAGTATTCATCTAGTGCAGTGTTTCTCAACCTTAGCAACTTTAAGAGGTGTAGACTTCAATTCCCAGAATTCCCCAGCCAGCCATGCTGGCTGGGCAATTCTGGGTATTGAAGTCCACATCTCTTAAAGTTCCCAGGGTTGAGAAACACTGATCTAGTGACTAGATTCTAATCTTTGCAAGGCACCAATATGTGCACCATGGAATGGACTTTCTTTATTAGGTTGTAACAACCAATTGTAAAAACAGATTACAATATTTACCACAACCCTGAGTTTAAATTAATTGTTTTCCCCAGATCAGATTTGCATTGTACATTAATTACCAAATTGGTTCGTACTTTATAAAGTTGTTATTTTCTGTAACTTTGAGATGTCTTTACATATGATTTATTTGATAGTGTAAATGAGAGGGCAAATGTGATCAGTTTTATAAGGGAGTATTGTATCCTACAGCCACAGAACTGTAAAGTGTATAGTTTAAGCAGTATCTTATTTAAATTTATATTTTTAAAAGTCTCTATGTGTTCTCTTTATGCTTTTATGTAATCAAGAAAAGAAAAGAATTTAGTCCCAAAGCATTATGAATGCGTAATGACATACTGTACATTTAAAATATTACTTCTATTTTATATAATGTAGTTGCAGTAGTATAAAGTATATTTCTTAATACAAAGCAACAGATGCATAAAATGTCTTGCTTGCTGTGTGTGAAAGCTGAACTTATCTTACTGTATAGCACACCAATTCAGAAAAATAATTAGGGATGACAATTAGGATATCAAAGCAAATTCCATAAAATGTAACTGACCCTTGGTAAGAGGTAGAAGAAAATCTAGATATGATAAAAAAATGGGAAATTTTATTTATTTATTTATATTTGGGCCCTTGACTAAAAAAGAACCATGGTGTTTGTGTCATGTTTGTTTCTCTGTGTGCACAATTTTCTGTTCAAAAAATTGTATTCAAAGTGTGTTACATGTAGAAAACAATTCCTTTTACATGCAACACTAAAAAACATGGAGTAAGATGTATTTTCAAAGTCTCAGTGATTTTCACAAAATATTATATTGGTTAGTGTATTTAAGTAAGAGTCAGAAAATGTTAAATGCTAACAAAATGTTAAAAGCAGCAAATGAAATTTGGACATGGGTGGCATAGTTTGTGAAGTTAATTGCCACAGCAGGGGAGCACCAAGATATCCTCCATATATTGTTAATTTCTTTAGATTAGTTTAAATAAATAAATGGGAACTCAGCTTTGCCACTGTATTCCATATAAGTTTCTTAGATTATTTTTAATGTGAGTAGATATAGATTGGTACTTTGTTTGAAATGATCCTTCTGACCCCCAAAAAGACAAAGGTAAGCTGGGCTATAGAAAGAGGGGAGGGAAGGATAATGCTAGATAATGGAGCAATCTTATCAGTTTGCTTTCTGGAGAATCGGTGCTTTTTTATTGACCACACCTGTCATGGCAGCTGTTTTGTCAACAGGCAGGCCCACCAGTAGTACCCATTTTAGGATAGTGGTCATTAAGTTCTTTCAGTACTCTAAATGTCTCTTCTCAGTTATCTCATGACTGCACATATAAACAGATAGCTCATCTAAAAAAAGGATGGTAGAGGAGAAATAAATTATATATATATGGAGACAGGACAATAAGAATAGTTTTTCCTTTTATTATAACACATTTATGTATTCTAAAGTTTAAATCCAGCCAATCATTCAAGGCTGCGTCTAACTAGCAACAGTTCCAGCAACTTCTTGTCTATGAAAAGCACTGGGTAATTCTTACTGTAGGACTAGATAATCTTGGGCCACGTTGGAACGCAAATCTCACAATCCTTTATAGCCTGGGCTGATAAGATATAGTTTAAATGATCATTCCACAATTGTGGTGCTCTCCAGATATGTAGGTTTCAGTTCTCAGGATTATCAGCTATGGTCATGCTGGCTAAGGAATTCTGCAAATTGGAGTCATACACTTGGAAGGTGCCCATGTTGGAGAAGTCTATTCTAGAACACTTGCCTTATGGACAATCCTCCTATGCAAACATCTTGGCATTATTGAGTTAGATATGAATTATGGTAAAGCAGCTTCCATTCATTTCTTTGGAGCTTTTGTGTTTATTTTTCAAGGGAAAACAAGGTAGTGTCCTGTGGCTTCAAAGACTTTTAAATACTGAAAACAGTACAGTATGGAAAAGACTGAATTAATAAAAAGGAGAAAAAGTTCTTCAGAACTAGCTAATATTACAAAATTAAGTGTTTGAACTAGTTTTAACATAATGTCTTCCCTATTTCATGTTTTTTTTTTCCTAGTTAAGTCTATCTCTTAGTTAACAATATCAGCTTACATATTACAGAACAGTTGTATCCAATTATATGGTATAGAACAGAATTTCCAGGCTGTTATTATTACTAATAGCGATATCAAAACTAATAAAATTAATCAAATAAGAATGAATAGAGGCAATAAGTATCAGAATGAATAGCAAAATGCACTATGGTAACAAGTGTTGTGTAGCAGATAAATTGATTCACCAGTCCTTTGACAGGCTGTCCATGGCGATCTTACCTGCTTCAGATGATTGTTGTGGTACTGGTCTGGTTTTTCTGAGTAAGACAAGTTAATTTAATATGTAATGTAGGAATAAATCAAGGAACAATTTTTCAGCCTGAAAAGCTTCAGAGGTAACTCATTGGCCACAATAAATTCTTTTTCACATATCCTATGTTTTTTAAATATTAAAATTGCTATTTTTATAATGATAAATCAAACAACATTTTGTTTAGAAATTGGGATAAAAAATGTAATAATTCTGTATATTTTGGAACGATGTTACATTCTGTTCCTCTTAATGAGAATGGTACATTTTTGCTCTAATTTCAGGCCACATATTATTCAGTATGTAGGCCATTCTGTGATACTCATTTCCTATCAAATCCAAATTCAAACATCCATGAATGAATGAATGAATGAACGAATGAATGAATGAATAGCAAAATTCTATAGATGACTCTGAAATCCATGCTATTTATCTTAAGCATTTCATATTTAAAATACTTATGTAAAACTTGTATAATAAGACATATCTAGAAAAAAACATATATGTACCTATAATGAGTATTCCTTATATTGGAATGCTGTTTAATTTTTTTTTTTTTTTGGTGCTTTCAAGTCAGTGTTGACTCCTAGCGACTGCCTGGACTAGTCCTGCAGTTATCTTGGCAACGTTTTTCAAATGTGGTTTGCCATTGCCTCCTTCCTAGGGCTGAGAGAGTATAACTGGCTCAAGGCCACCCAGCTGGCATCATGCCTAAGGTGGGACTAGAACTCACAATCTCACTGTTCTACCCTGATGTCTTAACCACTACATTAAATTGGCTCTATTTGCTATTATGCTGTTTAATAAAAGCTGTTAAATGACATTTGTGGCTTTCTTTCCTAACAACAGCATATGGTGTCAAAAATGTCGGTATTTTAAATATAGGCTTCACTATATGTGATAAGTTCTGATAATACTTGGAGATTTATATAATGCCAAATTTTATATAATATAATTCAGTACAGCAATTTTTTTCATTTGCAAAATGGCATAGAATAACATTCAGATTACAGTATATTTCTGTCCTAAGCATGCTTTCTAGGAGTTTTACTGATACAACTAGTATCAAAATAAACATATTTCATCTGTCAATAATACTGATCTATACATCTATGCCTGGGCATTTTTAAAGTTTATCCCACAATAAATAAGATAAATTTGTTCCTCTGCGTATTATCATCTTTTTCTGAATTATTTTAAGAGATTCCAGTTACAAAATAGCGATATCTTAACATACATTCATACACAACTGTCAATTTGGGCAATTAGTTTTAATTGATGCAGACTTCATTATGCTTAGAAATTAGTAGGACATTAACTTAATAACTTGTCCCATTAATTTCAGAGTGTTCTGAAATTCAGTATGACTAAAGCTGCAATTCTATACATATATACCTGGGGTTAATTCCATTAACTTTTTAAATATATACATAAGTCCCATCCATCCACTGCAAATCTAATTAAGTTTAGTAAAAAGACAGCATCTATCAGTGCAATAGATGCCCCCTCTCTTTTTCTTGGAAGAACTTTCAGATGGTTTTGAGTGGGGGCATTTCATGTAGTGGGGAAGAATGTAAGTGAAAATAGTATTGCTTGAATGGAAGTCTACTTCCATAATACTGAGAATAGCCCAGTATCTGGATCCAATCTTGCATGCATATCTATTCAGGCTTAATATTTTTTTTTAAAAGCACATAATACTGCTTTTTTGTTCCTAACATCAGCCACTAAATCAAGAAAAAAAAAAGCATGTGAATCAGTCTGGAATCAAGATATAGTTAGCCAAGCAGAATAAAAATATTTCATTGCTGTATTTATCCCATCTATCCTTCTTTTGAATGCTAATGAATAATCATTGTACTGTCACAAAAAAGGCTTATATCTCCACTAAGTTAGCTTCCTTAGGTGATGAGACTTTCAACCTGTCCTAAGATGATCTCATCCCACAGGCTGATTTAGATGGGAAGAAACAGTTGGTAGTCTTACAGGCTGTACTTCCAATAATATCGTTTACTGATCAAATAATACTTCTGTCTATTTTGGACTGAGCTTCAACTAGTTAGGCCACATACAATCATTGTATCAAGGTAGGCTTTCACATTTTCATAGCTTGCTTTATGTAAGTTCAGAAGCAGAGTTTAGTATTATTACCTGTTGATAAGATGAAGCTGTCAAGCTTCCCAGACCAGGACATAGCTCTAAGTCACATAAACTTGACTTTACATGGCTTAACTAGGTTGCTAGGCTTGACGTAGGCAGAAATCTCTGAAATACTTGACATTGTTACAGGTAGTCCTCGTTTAACAACCATTCATTTAGCGACCATTTGAAGTTATGATGGCACTAAAAAAAGTGACTTACGACTGGTGCCCACAGTTACAACCATTGCAGTACCCACATGGTCACGTGATCGCGATCCGGGTGCTTGGCAACCAGCTCGCACTTAGATGGTTGCAGTGTCCCAGGGTCACGTGATCGCCATTTGTGACCTTCCCAGCCGGCTTCCAGCAAGCAAAATCAGTGGGGAACCAAATGATTTGTTTAACAAGCATGTGATTTGCTTAACAACTCTCGCAAAAAAGGTTATAAAATTGGGCCTGGTCATTATGATGATTCATTTAGTGACTGCATCACCTAGCGACCTAAATTCCAGTCCCAATTGTGGTTGTTAAGCAAGGACTACCTGTATTGCAAATTAGGATGAAGCTGTGCAAACCACTAGATTATCCTCTGTAAGTGTGAGCATACAATTCTCTTTTCTGCCCATGACAGTCTAAAACCATTGCTTCATGGTCGTGAAGCTGGGAGGTTTTTGGCTGTTGATATAACTGACATCTCCACCCTAAGAATTGCTGACTGTTTGGCTTAATGCTCACACCAACCCTCAGGTTTTGCATGACTCTTCTCAGTGACTTCATGTAGATACTAAAGAGCATAGGGGGCTGAGATGCCCTACAGAGCAGGGTGGAGAACCTGTGACTCCAGCTGATAAACCGCTACCCCCAGTATTTCTCACCAGTGGCCATACCATGTGGGCTGCTGGGACTTATAATGCACCAACCTCAAGCAGGTCTGAGATCATTCAGTCAGGACTGGAAATTTATAAAATGAAAATTCAGGTGGAACCAGAGATAAATGCACTTACTGGTTCCTGGCATAGATATTCCACAAGGTGATCAAGACTGCTTCAGTCCCAAACCCAGACTTAAACTCCAAACAAGACCAGATTGGAAAGGAACCAAACACTTAGCTTCATTCAGGAAAGCCTGAAATTATGTTATATGAATTTAACGTGATTAAAGCACTGTAAAGTTTAAGAGGAAAACTCACAGTCATTATGAGAATGGTATATCTTAATAAAAAGCATTTTAAAATATGTTTCTTAAGGATTAGGAGAGACCTTATTGTTACAAGAAACTTTCTTGTTGGAAATATATGAAGAGTGAGTCTTCATATTAAAAGAGGGCATAATTTTTGTATTTAAGCTACTTTTAACAGGAAACAAACATGCTAATGTTAGTTCAAGCCTGAAGATTCTTGCTCTAGAAAGCAAGCCACAGGATTAAGTTTGTAAGATACTGCTTATACACTATTTATACATACTACTCACAGACTATTTATATGTAGTTGCTTCAGTTTAAGTTAGCTAGGAAATTAATGCATAGGATCAAAATCCTGCTCAGCGCTGCACAATAAATATATATGTAGTAATAATAATACATGTAGATACACTTGATTAGATGAGATTAGTTCATTGACACACAGGACTTGAACATAACTTGGCCCAAATGTTTAACCAAATTAAGAGTGGAATATTTGATTTTTTTCCCTGAGTTTCCTTTTGGAAGACAGTTGAATTTTCATAAATGTTATTGAGGCCTCCAAAATGGAAGACCATTTGCACAAAGCACTGTCTTACATGAAACCATGTAAGAGAAACCTGGAAATAAGAAGATTCTCGGAGAGCTCAAAAAGAACTATGAAGGCCTTAAAGAGTGCTCTGTGTGTGTGTGTGTGTACTTTTCTTAATAGGGAATCTGGGTTTCCTTATGGCAAAATTGCAGTAATAATGACTTTGTTTTTGCAACCTTGTTCTTATACCCAGCAGTTCTCTAGATCTCATGTTAGTGAGGTTTTAATTGTAGTAAGATCTATATATGAATAATGCAAGCATATTCTGTAATATTTGGCTTCTGCCTTCCTCCTTCTTTATTAAAATAACTTTGTGCCTTGCTTGGAATTTGACTTGGATGGTTGATGGTGAAAAAGTACTGGTATGGCTATGACCTATTGTCATATTGTATTGAAAATAACTGTACTAGTTTATTATTTCTCTTTCTTTTTCTTTCTTTCTTCGTGTTTGCTATAGTCTCGGCAAACTCCTGAAGGTGAATTTCTGCCCCTCGATCAACTTGAACTGGATGTAGGATTTAGCACAGGGGCGGATCAACTTTTTCTTGTGTCACCACTTACAATCTGCCATGTGATCGATTCAAAAAGCCCCTTCTATGACCTTTCTCAGCGAAGCATGCAAACTGAACAGTTTGAGATTGTTGTCATCCTAGAGGGCATTGTGGAAACAACTGGTGAGTACAGTGATTTCAGAGATAATAAAATCATGTGTTTGTATTTTGTTTCTGCCACACACAAAAAAGTAATGTTAAAAAAATCCGTGAAAGTCACTGTTATGGATAAAGTAAATACAGTAATTCTGAAAATTAGGAATATGTTTAAGAGACCTTAAATGAGTGCTGCTATTGAAACATTCTTTATTTGAATGGTTATGGGTTGTATTTCTCCCTAATAACTTGCACTACCATTGTACCCTATAATCTTTCTGATGTTAATATACATTAAAAAATGACAGGGACGTTTAAGTTGACTCAATATATGCAAGTGAGATTTGTCTGTCTGCCATAATCCTACAGAGATTATGAAACTAGGTTTGTGGTATCTCATGGTTGTGAGTTCTTTCTTGAACAAAATAATAATAATTTACCAATCAAGCTGAGGAGGAAAGCATGCAGTGCTATAATATATATCCCTAAACTGAAGAGAAGACCATTTCATTAAAAACACCTGGTTGGAAATGAATTCAACTGATATTTGTAGTGCAAGATCATTCCACTGAAATGTTTGCCTTTGCCTTGTCTCCCTTCTCCCCCAGCCTTGAAAAGGGCAGACAAACAGGATTAGTGTATATTTTCTTTGTAGTAAACACTGGTGAATATGTAATGGGCACAAAATCTCTAAATTGTCTGCAGTGGTTCACTAGTATCTTCCCTGTTTCAATGATGCGTAGAGCAACAATGTGTTCCAGTGTTCTGGATGTTCTGCTCAATATTTATGAAAATGACCATACATGAGCACTTTTACAAGCTGATAAATATTTTGCTCTGCCTTAAGAGTGCCTATTTATCTTCTAATTCCTGTTAATCTGCCTCACCACTCCTTAGCTCTGCCATACTCACCCTGTTTTTTCTTAGAATGTCATGTTTATATTGGCCGAGTAGATGGAATGTTTGGTTAGGGTTAAAGTTGCAATTTCAGAATGGAACTGGGAATGTTTGGCTTTATATACACTAAAATATATGTTTATTACAAATACTTCCCCTCTTGATTGGTATCAAATTTGTTGACTGAAATTGTGGGAATTGTAAATCCATACAGTAGTTACCAACAATAAGCACTCACATGGACAAATGCGATAGAGGGATTCATGGATTGTCACTGTGGATTAAATCTTCCCTCCTTATGACCTAAATAATAGTGCAGTCTTTAATTTCACCCCACATCTCAATTGGGTGTACGTCTGAGTAGAAAAATACAGAATTCAGAATGGTCAAAATTATACATGAATCTTCCTACATAATTGCAATTAACTTTGTCATTGATAGTTAAACATATATTTTGGTATCTGATGGGTACCTAATTTTTTTTTTTTTTGGCACCTTCTAATAATTTCATAGAACCTGATTTTGCTTTTTTCTCATGCTGTACCAGATCTAAAT